ATCTGGGAGTTGTATAAAATTATTTACAGGTTGGTTTGTCCAAAATATAGGGGAGATAATGCCGAAATTTTCATTAAAATATTTTATAAGTTTCACATTGGAGTAGCCTTGATGGTGGGTCCAACTTTTAGTTGGTATCCATCATTGGCGCACGTCACACTCCGAATCCACTAACTTTATCTGGGGTGGGGCGTGTCAATGGTGGCTCGTTTAAGCAGACCAATCTTAAAATTCGTATGCTCACTTTTGGAGTCTTGATACCATATTAGAAAAGACATTGGGTCTAATTCAGCCTAACAAAATCGGCTTGTTATGGGAGGATTGCCCTTACCTTATTAAGTGGATCGTGTGAATATCACCAGCCGATATGGGACTCTAATACCCCTCCTTACGCACAGTGTGGACCATGCCAAACAACTATGAACAAATCGATATTGGATGGACCCAACATTGCGGAACTGGCATGCTCTGATACCAAGTTAAAATTTGAGGTTCCATATTAAAAGGTCAACCTTATTAAGAGAAGTAATCTAATCATTTATAAGTTGATTTATGTTTACATTTTTATTCGATGTGAGATTATATCTTTTAACACATGGACTCTGTTTCTGTCTACAGCTCTTGGATCCTATGTTTCTTTATGAAATAGTGGCTTCCTATTCAAAACCTCGTAAAAATACAGCCTATACTCCGTATATCAATTGCTGGAGTTAAATCTTGATGAAGTGAAAATTGTGACAAACAGCTAAGAGAAAATTCATACATTCTTTGTTTTTATATTTTGAAGTTGCAAAATAAATTACAAGGACACATTACGTTAAAATTAAGCAGAGAAAAATACTGCATAACACCGTCGAGAAAAATGAACAAACAAAATTCCGAAGCCCTATACCATCTTGTAGCAACATAATCCTTGTATTTTGTACCATCATCCAAAAAATTATTGACTCCAACACTTCAAGAAATAGACAAATGGCACTGAAGAATGAAATAATTAATAATAAACTGTTAGATTTCCGAGTTGCCGTCCAAACTGAAAGCAACTCTAGCCAACCTAAAATCACATATTTTGAGTTTACAATTCGCACTTGACAGAATGTTCTTTCGTTTTAGATCTCGATGATAAACATTAGTTGCAGACAGAAACTTTATGGTTACACATATTTATCGAGTCACAAAGCACAGTTCACAATGCATGACAAGCAGAAGACAAAGCTGATAAATAGGGGAAAACAACATATTGGCAAAAAAAATCTCTTAAATAGCTATCAAGTTCTGGGGGAAATAACTTCAGGTCACACTGTAGAAAAACGAACTTTGGGTTCTCCCTCGAATCTGTTCTAGAAGTGAACCATTATGTAGGAACACAAACTGACCAGCATAGTAACCAACGATCAGATATGTTTCTTCTACAAACAAGATAACATCGAGAAAAATAGACAAGAAAACAAATGGTGGATGTAACTTATGTGAATGTATTTAAATGCGCGAAGCAACCAGTAGAGAAAATCTGATAGTGTTCTCAAGTCAAGTCATCA